AAGAAAGAAGAAGAGAGAAGGAAGTCAAGGAGAAGAGAGTAAAAGAGAAATTCAAGAAGGCATAGCATTACCAAAATTACTAGAGAAATGGGAAGCTAGGCCCTGTGGAGACTGCTCAATCAGTAATGTGCCCTCTATGCACATGGGAACCTCAGTTCAGATCCCCAGAGGCCAAGGAAAACAACAAAAACCAGGCCTGGCCATGTGCTTGCAATCCCAATTCTAGCAAGGCAGAGACAGGGAATCCCACAGTTCATCTGGCTAGCCAGTCTAATCCATTCAATGAGCTTCAAGTTCAGTGAGAGATCCTATGTCAAAATGTAAGGTGGAGAATTGGTGAGGAAGACGTCCCAACATCAACTTTTACTGAAACTGGCTTTACAGTGATCAGCAGGGCAAATGGCCTAACAGCATAGTGTAGGGTAACTTGATAATATCTTTGTGAATAAAATGCATGTATAAAGTCATTTGTAGTTATGCATCCTTGTAATCCCAATACAGCTGCAGTCTATAATCTGTCTCAGGAGAGTCAGAAAATCTTGACTAAGTTTCAGGCTTGGACAGAAGGGTCACCATGAATTCAAGATCAACTTAGATTATAAACCAAGACCCTGTCTCCAAAAGAAAAAGGAAGAAAAAAATTCATGCACATGTATAAGAATTTTAATAGCAGTTTTATTAATTATAGCATCAGACTATAAACAATCATGTCTACACTATGGCAGTGGTTTTTTTTTTTTTAAAGAAAACAAATCTGGAGGCTGGGGAGATAGCTCAGTCAGAAATAATTTTGCTGCAGTCCTCGGAACCCATGTAGAAAGCTGGCACACTTGTAGTCCTGGCACTAAGAAAAAGGCAGTTCCCTGGGGCTTGCCAGCCAGCCATTCTAGCCTCATTATCTAGCCCCAGGTCCCAGTGAGAGAATTTGTCTCAAAAGCCAAGGCAGATGACTTCTGAAGACCACCACCCAAGGTTGATGTGGGGCCTCCAATGCATGTCCACTGATGCATGCACACCCACACACATCTACAAACAGCTGCACACAGATATACACACAATACCCACTTACATGAAACAGCACACTAAGCGAAGGAAGCCAGACTCCACATTTCACATACTGTAAACTCTACTTGTAAAGGTTTCAAAACATTTATCAATGCTGTTTGTTCATGATAAGGATTGTGCTGGTCAGGGGACCAGGGAGGATGAAATGGTGGCCCAGGGAAGTTCAGGGGGCTTCCAGGTTCTAGGAATAATGTTTCCTGCTCTGGGTGTTGGTGAGATCGTGAGTTCATCCTGTAAAAGCTCACTCATCTGTACATAGAATTTGTGCTTTCCTGAAACTATGCTATGCTTCAGTAAAGTCCACAGACAGAGGCAGAGGAAAGAAGATGTTCAGAAGGAAGACAGGGACCCCCAAAACAGTTAACCCAGCAATCTCCATGCTGGTAACTGACCCTGTAGCTCCCCTTTCATGTGAACTAGCAGAATATACTGGAAAGTGGCAAGCAATCTAAATGTCCTGGTTATTCAACTAGAAGTGTTAAACAATTCATAACACATCCATAATGGAGTGTTATGTAACCATTACCAAGAACGGTTGACTTTTGTATATTGATGTGCAGTAAATTCCAAGACATAGTGTGAAGTCAACAAGTCAGACAGGCTCAGAAGGTTGACTACACGCACACATGGGTAGACTGCAAGCACACTCAGGAGCTGGGCATTCTGGCCAGAGGGACAATGCTCTTTCTAAAGCTGTTATCTATAGCTATGTCCAGTCCTACTTGCTGGACCATACTGTCTCTGAGTGTGGGGTCACAAGGGTCTTATGAAGTCCTTCAGCTTACAAACATCATTATCCTCTTGAGTACAAGCAAGGTCACAATCAGGAGTTTGGCAGCAATGGAAGCTTGCTTAGCTATCTGGAAGATGGCTAGATATGGGTAGACCTGGGACTTATGCCTGCCATCCAAGGAACACAGTCTGGAGTGAGACAGGCTCCAGGTCCCAGCAGAGCCACTGCCTTCTATCCTGGAAGAATGAAGCAGGCAGACAGCAGGACTTGGGCAAGGTCACACTGCCAGAGGCCAAGCACATGACTTTATGTTGAATGGTTACCAGAGAGCCGTACTGCACACTCAAAGCAGACAGGAACTGTGTCCCTCCACACAGGTTCCACGCAGGAGGAGTCCCCTCTAGTGAGCAAGGGCAGTGACCTGACCTAACACCAGGGCTGAGGGCTCTGTATGGAAACACAGGACGGGAAGGCAAAAAGTGTGATTGGATGTGGGAAAGCAGAGAAAGATGGGGGGGGGGTTGGTCATGTGGGCTGGTGTCAGGTCCAGAAGAGTCAGGCATCTCTGGGTAAGTCTGAGTGTCTGGATTCCCGCTGGGGCTTTGAGTATGGGTCTGGTACACTTTCCACTTTAGGACAACCCTTCCAGTGGTGAGAGGCAGATGACACAGTGTCAGTTTGGCTAGGGAGACTTGTTGGGAAGCAATGACAGTCATTTAGGTGTGTCTGTGTAGTAGCCTGGACAAGGAGAGGAGTGAGTGATAAGAACCAGTAAGTATGATGTTTTAGGAGAAACTGTGACGTCCTTTGTTAAAGAACAAACACGGGAAAGGTAGGAGTTAAAAGTGAGCCATTTAGGAGATGCAAGAACAGGGTACCCAAGGGCACTCTGCTTGAGTGAGGACATCAAAGCTGGGTGAACACAAGTTCCCTCCCAAGGATGCTGGATGAGGGAGAGGCACCTGTGGGGGGCTCCAGCACAGAAGCCAGCAGGGTCGACAAAGTTGATTTATTGAGTCGATGTTAAATCAACAGTTACCATATGCTGACATGGATAAATCAGCCAAGCTTCCTGTCCCGGAGGAGACACACAGACAATAGTACACAAAGAAACAGAAAAGCTGCACTCATGCAGAGTGCTATGAGAGTTAAGAGATGGAGGTCAGCTTGAGTCCACAGGTATGCTGGAAGAGGCTTCCAGGGGAGATGTGCCAGTAATGTCACAGGATACATCAAATAAATAACACATGCTGAGCCCTGGAGATAGCAGTTAATGTGACAGGCGACCCAAAGGAGGCCATGTCTTAGTTAATTTTCGTGTGATTATAACAAAACACCTGAGACCAGAAGGTTTGTATAGAGGGTGTGTGTGTGTGTGTGTGTGTGTGTGTGTGTGTCTACACATAGAGACCAGACATTAGCCTCTAGTGTCATTCCTTAGGAGCCACCCACCCTGTCTTTGTGTAAGACAGAGTATCTCATTGGCTAGACTGAGTGACCAGTGAAGCCCAGTGCTGTGCCCCTCCCCAGAGCTTGAACTGAAAGTGTACACCACTACCAGAGCTCTTTATGTGGGATCTGAGGCCCATCTCAGTCTTCAGGCCTTCATTGCAAGATCTTTACCAATCGAGCCAACTCCCCACCTCCTATATAAAAATACATTTGCTCACAGTTCTGCAGCACAAGAGCACCTGATGGAGGTCCTCCTGCCGGATCAAGATGCCATGGAGAGTGCCCCTGGTCAGACATCGAGCAAGCCAGCCAGTCTCTCTTATTAATAAAACTTCACGACCTTCCTTAATCCCAATCACCTTCCAAAGGCCCCATCTCCAAATACTATTAACATTTGACTGTGGACATTATTTCCCAACACATGAAGCACAGCAACTATGGGAGTGGACAGTGAGCACTAAAGAGCAGGTCACTGCAGGAGCTCAGGTGTGTGTGTGGGGGGGGGGCACCTGCATTATCTCAAGCACTGTGGGGCCACTGCATGATTTAAAGATGCCTGGGGCAGGGAGGGAGGACCACGGGGAGGCGATGTAGGCAGGGGGTGGATACATGTAGTCGGAAAGCCAGTGGGAGCAGCAAACAAAACAATTTGAACAAGTCTAGGTAGGAAGACTAACTCCACTGAATGCCAAAACAGTTAAACATGGTGAATTCTTCTATAAACGTTCCCACTGTTAACTGTCAACAAACTCCCTCTCTTTGGCCTGCTTAATCACACTGTCAGGCCATTGTGAAACTGCGAGGAATCAGTTATGAACCTTAAACCTTGCCAGCTTAGGATCAGGGCTCTGCCTGCTCACCTGTGTGAGGTTAGGTAGCATAGCGCTTGGCTCCAGTCCATCAGCTATGACTTTACCCATACCGGGATCCAGACTCTGATGATGTCCTATCGCTGCACTGAAGGGGGGGGGGCAGACACTGCTTGTATGACCCCTGCTCTCCAAGACCTGAGTCTCGTAAATGGATAACCGCACCTAGGTACCCAGGGAGAGAAAAGGGTACCCCAGCTTTGGGTCAGCTCTCACGTAGGCCTGAGGACTCCCCGAGTCCAGTGGCCTTTGTGTGGCTACTGTGAAGGACGCTCAGGCCTCATTAGACACATAGATGGTTGCAGCAAACTGCAGACTAGAACAGTGGAAGGCCAGACCCAGAAGCTGCAGGTCAGGCGCCCTGCAGCAAAGAGCGGATGCGGGAATGTCCCTAAACCGGGGCAGCTTTCGAACCTCTTCCTGGGCAGAGGTGCCATCCAGGGAGCAAGGGACAGCTTGAAAGAAATTAGAGACGGGCGTTAAGCCCTGTGAGTCCCGCCTACCAGACCCGTCCACTGCGTGGGGCCAGCGCGCGACCTGGGCGAGCAGCCCCTCGACCGGGTGGAGAGGACATGAGTGCAGCCAGCAGACTGCCGCCGCGCCACCGCCGGGACCTTTCCCCTACTTTCCAGGTCTTACGCCCCGCCCCTAGCCCGGACCAAAACACTTGCCGCCTCCCGCCCGGCCGGATCACGCCGCGGCCAGGCTCCGATCACGCGGCCCCCCGAGGCTCCCATTGGCCCGCTCCTTGCCGGCCCGGCGCCGATTGGCTGGAGGCGGAGGACACGCCCCCGGCAGGGAGCGGTGTATTTTGGTTTGCCCGCGCGCCCCGCCCCGGGCCGCTCCCTCCGCGGCGCCCCGCCCCTCCCGCGCCTCGCGGGCCGCGCGGAGGCAGAGCCGCGCGGCAAGGAGGGCGGAGGTGCGCGCCGGCTGCAGGCGCTCGGGACGCCGCCGCCCGCCGCACACGTGCAGCCTCCGCCGCCCGCCCGCCAGCGCGCGGAGCTCCCGATCCGCAGCTCTGTGGCCTGCAAGGCCGTCCGTCCGGCACCATGCACTCGCCGGGCTCCACCGGCCCGGGCGACGCGCGCGCGGTGAGTGAGTGACGGGGCTGAGCGCGGGGCGAGGCGGGGGGGGGCGCGGGAGGGATGGCGACACCTCGCTGCGCTAGAGGCTGGAGCGGTGCTCCGGTGGCGGCGGGGGGGCCCCGACTCGGCGGGGTCAGGGTAGGGAGGGGGCGTGTGAGCGCGGCAGCCAGCCTTCAGCTTTGTCTCTTGTCCGCGGCGGCCCCGCCCGGCGCGGCTATTTCCAGCCATGACGTCACCCGAATCCAGAGGAGGACCGCTGCTGGGTGTGGGCGCGGCTGGCGGGAACGTGGAGGGCGGGGCAAGGGCGGGGCCAAAGCAAGGGCGCGGCGCGAGGGGGTGTGGCGATAGCGGTCCGTGGGCTATGGGGCGGGGCCAGGGCGTGGCGAGGTGCCTGGAGGGGTGTGGGACCAAGGCTCAAGGCACAGTGAAAGCACCTGGTGGTAGTGTGAGGGGGGCTAACCCAAGCAAGCGGGCTTTGTGAGAGCAGCTGAGGGAAGTGTGGAGTGGGGCAGGGGGCGGGGCCAACATGAGGCGGTGTGGTGAGAGCACCTGGTAGGGGTGTGTAGAGGGTGGGTCAAGGGCTGAGCCAAAGGGAGGGGATGGCAAGAGCATCTGGTGGGCGTGTAGGGGTGGGGCCGTGGGTTGAGCCAAACCTAAGGTGTCTCAGGAGGGTGACAAAGGTACCTGGAGGACGGTAAATGTGTCTGGATAGGTTCCGAGGGGGACGTGGCAACTGGGTGGCCCTGGGCGGGGGTTGGGGTGGAGGGTGGGGCGGGAATAGGGCTGGGCAAGGGTCGGGGCTAAAGCAAGAAGGGGCGTGGTAATGGGACCTTACCGGGAATGTAGGACTTGGTTTAGCCACTGTGTGGAGTCAGGGTAGGTGTAGTGTGAGGGCCAGTGGAGCCTGACAGGAATTTTGGGGGCTGGGGAAGTGGTGTGCAGGTTTCTGTGGAAAACACAGCAGTATGCCGACTCTAGGGACCGTATTCATCCTTTCCTAATCTGTGGACTGGACATTCCACTTGATGGATCCAGAGGTCAAGTCTGGCCCCCTGTGATGCTGGATGAGTCACTTTGTAAAGGTAGTTTCTTTCCCTGCTCACTGGAGGGGACTCTGGACAGAGGAGGTTTTGAAACTCAGAAAATATGTATGGAAATATGTATCTATGGGTGTAAGGTTCTGTTTTGGAACAGATGGATTCCAGTCTCTTACTGCCTGCTCCTGTGCTAAAGATGGTGTGGGGTGTGGGGTGAGGTCTCTTTCCTGGGTTGTGATCAAGCTTTCATTTGCTCTTCCCCTCACCGTACCTCCTAGTTTTCAGTAGTAACAAGTGACTTCATGTTTCTGAACTTGCAGAGGAAACAGGCAGCCACCGTGGTCTCTACTTTAATGGAACCCTGCTTCGGCCACTGGGAAATTAAGCTTGGGGTAACGCTTCCTCAGGGACACTATGCTGGTGGGTTTTGATGTAGAAGATCTCACCCACCAACTGGCTGCTTGGCCTCATTAGCTGCTTTGTTTGTTTATCCTTCCAGTGACACCTTCCTGCTAGCCACTTTGATGTACACCTCTAGAGTTAGTCTTAATAATTTGCCCAAACAGAAGCTTGAAGTTAGTAACCTGTTTTGTTTTTATTTTATATTGGGGGGGATTGAACTCAGTGTCACACAAGTGCTAATCAAACATCCATTGTTGAGCAATAGCCCAGGCTAGAAACCTTTTTAGAATCAGGGCTTTGGTTTTTTGTTTTGTTTTCTTTGTCTTGTCTTGTGGAAACTGCTTCTTAACCAAAATCCTCAGAGCTTGAAAGCAGAGTTGCTTGAGAGTTCCATCCAGGTCTTTTTATTCCAGGACTGAGCCTGTTGCTTTGTTAGTATGCTGCACTACATGCCTGTCAGGACTACCCCTGTATTCTCCTCAGCTAAGAAGCCACTGTGTCGTGCTGCCTTTAGGTTGACATCATGGACATCTGCGAGTCGATCCTGGAGAGGAAACGGCATGACAGCGAAAGGTCCACATGTAGCATCCTGGAGCAGACAGACATTGAAGCTGTGGAAGCTCTCGTTTGCATGAGTTCTTGGGGTCAAAGATCCCAGATGAGACCCCTTACGCCTGTCTCTGATTCTGGTGATGTCACCACTACTGTACTTATAGACACAGCCACACCTGATCTACCAAAGGACTTCCATTCTTTTTCAACTCTGGTAAGGGAGGTGGGAGAGAGAAACTTGTCTGGGAACTGCCCAGGATAGCTTAGGTAAAATATGTTGAAGAACTTGTAGAGAGATTAAGAACGATGTGGCCAGGAAATTGCCTACACTGTCTTCATATGGACACCAAGTTGTGAAAACATATCTTAAAAAATGTTTTCTTTTCCTTGGTGACTCATAACTTGCTGGCAGATGGTTGGTGTTCATTGGACAAAACCTAAAGATGGTTACAGAATGTCTGGGGAGTCTTAAGGTAGGCTCTTGGGTTATCCCAGTCTAGGATGAGGATGTGGAAAGCAGCAAAAGAAAGCATGTGCCCTGACATCAGACAGCCTTAGTGTAGTAGAAACATGTCACTCTGCCTTCCTGTGGCAGCCACCTGGTGTGATTTGGAGTGATAAGTCAGTATTTTATTTTTAGGTTTTTAACTTGCCACACCTATGGAATTGCTTCTTGGGTTGAAGAAGTCAGGCTATAGATTGCTTATGGTAATAAAACTGAGATGTGATTGGCCTAGGCTACGAACTTGCACTGAAGACTATGTGTTGTAATTTTTAAAAGTGGCATACAAGACAAAGATGCCATTCGACAGAGCTTAGGTGGAGAGGGTTTTTATTGGTGGAAAGTGAATGGGAAAGAGAGGAGAGGGGAGAATGGAGACTGGCCTGTGGAGACAAGAGCAGCAACAGAGAGAGGCAGGGGAAGAGAGAAGAGACAGGGACAGGCAGAGAAGAGCAGAGAGACAAAGATGGGAGGTGGGCAGGGCCCTTTTAAAAGGGTGTAATGAATGTATAGATGATGCTCTTAGTGGCTGCAGCTGAACCCCAAGGGCAGGCCAGTACAGATGCCTGAACACCACACTATGGAAGATAGAATTGGAGGGGGGGGGTGGAATAGAAGACTGGAGGAAAGATGGGCTGGCTCAGAGTAGCCCCTTGGGTGTTCAGGCTTGTGCTTTTTTCAAGGTGACTGGTAAATGTTGGGGGCCAGTACATAGAGGCTTCATTCAGGAAAGCCTGAAATTGGAAGGCAGAGGCAGGCAGGTCTCAGTGAATGCGAGGCTAGCATAGTCTACAAAATGAGTTCCAGGACAGCCAGAACTACACAGAGAGGCCCTGTCTTGAAAAACCATTTTTTAAAAAAAGCCTGAAATTTCAATTTTTCTGTGTAGTCTTGGCTATTCTGGAACTGGCTCTGTAGACTAGGCTGGCCTTGAACTCACAGAGGTCCACCTGCGTCTGCCTCCAAAGTACTGGGATTAAAAGTGTGTGCCACCACTGCCTGACAAAAAGCTTTCATTTTAAAGCATGAAATTGTTTTACTTTTACAGTCCTTTTAGTTAAATTGCTTTTTTCAGAGCTATGCAAGGCCTAGAGTTGATACCACCTTTCCTTCCAACAAGACATTTGCATGGTTGGGAAAGGGCAGTCCACATAGGAAGAAGTGAGAACGGCAGAGTCCCCCAAGGCTAGGGGTGTCCAGTGCCGCCCAGTCCTCTGCAGATCACTTTTTCAAAGGCAGTGCGAGTAGTGCAGTCAGTTTCCTTGAAGCACCTTTGACCAAACACACTTTGACATGATGTTTTTCATTCTTTCTTTTGAAGTGTATAACTCCTCCTCAGAGCCCAGAGCTCATGGAGCCGTCGACAGGGACCCCTGTTCCTTCCCAAGTAACTAATTCCAAAGGATGCATGGTCACCGACCACCCTTCCCCCACTGCGGCCCCCAGAGCACTGAACAGGAGGGAGCCACAGGAGCCAGCCTCAGGGTCCCCCTGCAGGGCTGTAATGACCAGTGTGATCCGTCACACTGGGGAGGGTCCTGCTCCTACATGCTTTCCTACAGCCCCAGCTCAAGAGCAACAACCTTCTGGCAGCAGAGAAGGACAAGTAGGGTTGCTGGGCCATTGTGAAGCTTTGCAAGACACACGATTGGCAGACGGTTTACTTGTTTCTAACTCGGTTTCCTGTCAGCCTTGCTTGCACAAGTCCGGTGTCTCGTTCCCCACCTACCAAGGCCAGCAGACAGGATGGCCGGCTGCCATTCAGACACTCTCACCAAAGAATTCTGAAAGTGACTCGTCAAGGAAAACCACCCCTCTGATTTCTGTTCCTGTCTCCACGCCCCCTGTCCTTTGCCAAATGATCCCCGTGGCTGCACAAAACAGCATGTTATCAGCCTTTTTGAAGCCTCCTCAGTTGTCTGCAGGGACTGTCAAGCCCATCCTACCCCAAGCCGCTGCGGTGCCCCAGCCTGTGTTCATGGGCCCATCTATGCCTCAGGGAACTGTGATGCTGGTCTTGCCACAGAGCACATTCCCACAGCCTGTCACCTGCCCATCTGGTGTCATGGCCATTGGGAATACCAAGCTGTTGCCCCTTGCCCCTGCACCAATGTTCATCACCTCCAGCCAGAACTGTGCCCCTCAGGTAGACTTTTCCCGAAGGAGGAACTACGTTTGCAATTTCCCAGGTTGCCGGAAGACTTACTTCAAAAGTTCCCACCTTAAAGCCCATCTTCGAACCCACACAGGTAAGGGCTGGGGTATCTGGTGTGATGGGAACACCCAAACTTCAGGGGAGGAAAGATGCCTGAGCCTCTTTTGGGAGGGGCAGGACAACCAGTGGAGGAGGGGAGGGGTCATCAACAGGTGCCTGCAGGGGAGAGGATGGCGACTTGTGATGTTTTAGGGTGCTCTTTGCCTCAGTGCAGTAGGCATTGTGTTCATTTTCAGTGTAGACATCAGTGTGACTTGGAGGTCTGTCCACACCATCAAAGTCCACACTGTAGAATGTTTTAAAAGTATAGGGATTTTGTTGTTTTTGTTTTTGAGGGGATGGGAGGGGTTGGTTTCTTGCCTTTGAGAGTATATAGTTTTTAGTTTAAGAAATCACACAAGGGGCTGGAGAGATGGCTCAGTGGTTAAGAGTGACTGCTCTTCCAGAGGTCCTGGATTCAATTCCCAGCACCCACATGGCTGCTCACAACAGTCTGTAATTCCAGTTCCAGGGGTCCCGACACACATGGCAAAACACCAGTGGACATAAAATAAATAAATAAAACCCCTGCAATTAAAAAGCAAAGTCACATACAAAGTTATAATAGTCTACTGGGTTTCTTTGTTTTTTATATCTTAAATAATGAAAATATTCTCCTGCCTTAGAGTAGCCACTAGCCACATGTACTTGAAATAGGCTGGTTTGACTGAGGAACTGAATTGCAGGTTCTCATGGGTTGAAGTTTTACACTCTAGCTTCAGAAGCAGGTGGCTACCAAGTTGACCAGTAGGAACTGAGTGCCACCTGGCACGAATCACTTCAGTAGATTAGAGCAACGTTTCTCAGGGCCTCTGTGAGTCTGATGTGTTGTCTGTCATATTTTGGTGGTTCTGTGGTTATGTGGTCTGCTTGTTAAACTTGACTTTAGAGAATCCATATTTACCTACAAACACATGTAGAGATACGAGGTTCTGCGGTAGGTAACTCATGCTTCCTTAAACTGGTGACCATGCAACATTGCCCCTCCATCCTGTATGAATGTCTGGTTTATGGACTATGCAGGAATCCCTGATCCCAGAGTTACTGCTGTGTTTTTTATTTTAAAATACTGTTGATATAGACTGGCTTCTAACCAGCACCGTATACTCTGGCCATGGCAGACTCTACTTGCTGAACAGCGTGTGCTTTGGTGTTTAGACAGTCCAGAAAGAATTGTCCCTTCATACTCTGGAGCTGTGGTTGGCTTTAGGATGTGGACCTTTACACCTGTCCTGTGAAGTACTTGTCTCTTTGTCAGAGCAAACACAGCCTCCTTTGTTCTCATCTACCCGTGTGTTTCCACACATCAACCTCAGCCCTCCCCCACCCTCTGCCTATTCAGACCCTTTCAGGGGTTACCCCAAATCAGCTGGTGAGTGTTTGTTGATGGCCTTCCTCTTTGATTCCCATGGGTTATTGTGTGTCTCATCACCTTTTCTCTGTGTAGCCCTGGCATTCCTGGAACTTGCTATGTAGACCAGGCTAGACTGGAATTCAGAGATCCACCTGCCTCTGCCTCCTGAGTACTTGGATTAAAGGTTCGCACTTCTATGCCCGGCTTATTTTTGTTATTTCTAAATGGATATTTCTGTGTGTGGGAATGTGCATGTGAGTGCAGTGGCCTGTGGGTTTGGCACCCTGGAGCTGGAGGTGTATAGGTGGTTGTAAGTTGGCTACTGGGAGTACTGGGATCTGCGGTGGGATGCTGCAAGAGTGCTATGCGCTCTAAACTGTGAGCCCCCATCGTTGTTTTTTCATTGTTAGATAACTGTCTAAACCGAGTATAAATTCCTGGTGCCACACCAGTAAATGATGTTTGACACTTTTAGCAAGGATGTTCTGGTGGCTGCATCAGATGCTCTTTGGCATATTAAACCCCCATTGTTTTGCTTGTCCATCAGAGTGTCCCAGGTAGAAATCCTGACAGAACCGCCAAACCTGAGATAAAGCCAGTTTCTCTCATACTCCTCACAGAAGTGGGATCCATTTGAATGAGCATAAGGGCTCTGAGAGACACTGCTTCTGCCATTCACAAGACCTCTTGGAGTTCTTATGAGAACCGGATCTTGGGGTGGGCTTATTTCAGATAAAGATGGTGTTTCAAGTACTTTCACCAACCTGAACAACAGTTAAATGTGAAGAAGGTGAGGTGAGCGGGTACTCCATTTTAGCTGGAAATGGAATTTTGTAAACCAAATACCGAGGGGTTGGCAGTCTCAGAACCGCTCCTGGGCATTGGGTATGCTGCTATCTTTAGGGCATCAGGTGGGAAGTGCGTTGTCCTTGATGTTTGCATCCAGATGCTTTTACAGTAGCTAATACAGAATAGTCTACCAAGCTCAGGGCTCTGGAGCTGCCAGTCTAAAAGCATGTGTCGTTTGGCATCTCTAAGGGCCGGCCTGCCTCATCCCTGGTGTGGCAGAGGACATCACCAGGTACAGCTGGGTTAGTATGCTAGAGAGCTTGCTTTTATAACACTGTTCATCTATAATCCCAATGCCCAGGACCCCATCAGTGACCAAAGATCATACCTTTTAAGTATTGATGGCATGACCTTGTGATTACATTCCGAGGTGTGAAGTTTGGGGTCATAGAGAACCCATGTTAGCCACCCACTGGACAGGAAGCCTTGATGCTGCATTTTCTGTTAACTCCACTCTGAGAACTGCTGGAGTCAGTGTCTCTTCAAAACTGATTATTTGCTACCTGCTATAGGAAATTCACAGAGAGACAGATCTCATAATAGTACGTAGCTGCCTAGTGAATCATCCCCTCGTGTATGCAGTCTGTGATTGCCACAGCCAGGTAGGGAGGCTTCAGGACACAGAGAGGGGCCTGGCCCTGTGCTGGCTGGAACAGGAATTTGTTAAAGAAAAGGGTTCCAGTATCTACCTACCTGAAGGCTACTTACCTCTGTAACTCCAGGAAGATAATATGATTCCGGGGCACCTACTCTGAAGTCCTGATAGACACTTAACACTTCTAACCAGAAAGTGTCTTGTCAGAATGCAAACCTTGTCTTTTTATAACTCTGACCTCTGCGACGGTTAAGGTTAATATCGTCAACCTGTCAGGAGTTAGAATTAACTAGTGGACAAGCCTGAGTGTGCCTGTGAGGGATTATCTAAATTAGGTTAACTAAGGTGGGAGAACCACATTAGCTGGGGTTCTGGACTGGATAAAAGGGAGACAAGCAAGCTGAGCACTGGCGTTCATCTCTCTGTGTTTCTGGACTATGGATAATATATGACTAGCTTCCTCCCACCTTGATGGGCCTGCACCCTCCTACTGGGCCAGAATAAATTCCCTTAGTTTGCTTTTGTCAGCAATATGATCAGTAATTAAACACTTCAAACAACATGGAAAATAATTAATATAACTTGTTTGTCAGTGTGTTAAGAAATATGGATGTGAAATAATGATTCTAAGAAATCTTAAAACCCCTTGGAAGGACTTTTTGGGTTATGTTTGTCCTGAGAGAGAGAGAGAAGAATTATTTCCTTAAAGGATTTTTCTCACACATTTGTGGATGGTAGTCAGTTGGTAGCGTACTTGCCTAGCATGCATGAAGGTCCAGGTTTGACCCCCCCCCCCCAGCATGCTATAAAGTTGTGGGTGATGTACTTAAGAGAGGCAGAATTAGGAGAATCAGAAACTCAAGTATCTTCCTTAGCTATAAGAGCTGTTGGAGGCCCTGTCTCAAAATGCCTCCCCTGCCAAAACAAACACAAAACAGTATTGTCTGGAGATAGGAGGGTCTTTCAAGTTCCCATCTTGCCTGGGCTACTTAGCAAGACCCTATCAGGGTGAAGATGGGAATGCCAGGGATGGTGGTACACGCCTTTACTCCTTTAATCCCAGCAGCTGGAAAACAGAGGCAGGCTAGTCTCTTGAGTTTGACCTCTGATCTATGTAGGGAGTACAAGGGCAGCCGGGGATATATAGTGAGATCCTGTTTCAAAAAAAAACTTCCCCAAATATAAGAGACTTTTTTTTAACTTATTTTAAAATGTATCTATAACACCAGGGGTGGTGGCACATGCCTATAACTCCAGCACTAAAGTAGGCTCCAAGTCCCAGACCTGCCTGGACTGCATCAGTCCCCATCAGAAAAGCAAAGCAAGAAGCTACACACATGTGCATGGTAAAACTTTTGAGAGATTAGCCTAGTTTGATACCTGTGGACCCTGGCATATTGCATCCTGGGGGTCAGAAGAAATGCATTATGGAGGGTTTGCTGACTTCTGAGCCATTCAGACTAGAACAGCAGGTGTCACTCTTCTGAGGTTTGATGAACAGACCTGTGGGTAGCCCTCGTGGACTTCTGGGTAAGGTGCTGAGGATGCACGTTTACCTTAATATGTTCTTCCACTAGGGGAGAAGCCCTTTACCTGCAGCTGGGACGGCTGTGACAAAAAGTTCGCAAGGTCAGATGAACTGTCTCGCCACCGCAGAACTCACACAGGAGAGAAGAAATTTGTGTGTCCTGTGTGTGACCGACGCTTCATGCGGAGCGACCACCTGACAAAGCATGCCCGGCGCCACATGACGACCAAGAAGATCCCAGGCTGGCAGGCAGAGGTGGGCAAGCTGAATAGAATCACCGTGGCAGAGAAGTCCGGAAGCATTCTGGAGCCCTTGCCGGCCTCTGGCTGAGAAGTCCCATGACGCCCATCACCTGGGGGCTTCTTCAAACACCTCTTCAGGAGTGGGGAATGGGACCTTTGTGTTCCTCTCCAAGAAAGAAACAGAAACAAAACAAAGGAAAGCATGGTCTCTGGGCTGTTGAAGTAGGGAGCGGCTTCTGATGGAAGTACATTAACCTTACTTTTCTTGTTGGGACCCTGTTCGGTATCTCTTGTTTCAGTGCTAACTCTCTGTGTGTCTCTGTCACTTTGTCTCTCTCCTCTCTTTTATAAGGAAATGGAAGAAAATTTGATCTAAATCACCAGCATTCAAACAAATATTTCGGCAATAAAGTTTACAGTCTGGATTTTTTTTTTCTTTTTTTTTTTTTTTTTTTTTTTTTTTACAGCCTTTCTATTTTGTAGAAGTGAGACAGGGTATTGATTTTTTTATACTTTTTTATAAAAATATTTATATTCTGCTCAAATCACCAATTTCTGGATAGACAGTTTTACAACCTTCTTTTCCAATGTTTTATAACAAAGTTTTATAGTGACCCTGCATTAAGTACTCTTGGTAGTTAGTCGGGAAAATAAAAATCAAAATCGAAAATTTGTTACCAGCCTTTTATAGCAAATGCTTTAGATCAGAACTGGTTGAATAAAGAGCTCTTAAAGAGGGAAAAATAAGCTTTGTAGTCAGCCTTTTTGTGTCAGTTTCAGGGGAAATTCTAGCAGTCAGTCCTGTAGCCCACAAAACTAAAATGTCATTGGGTAGAACTAGTCACGTGTGTCTGGTGTCCCTGTGGAGGGTGTGCCTGGACTTGGGGCTGGCTGAGCAGGGGTGACTTCAGCACCAAGAAATGGGAATGCTTACACCGGGGCTTTGTGGATTGTCTGTTGGTTTCTGGTGTGGTTTTGTATTGCATGATGGTTCAGTGACCATACACAGAAAAGCAAATGTCTATGTTGGTTGGATAAACTCTCCACCAAAGTGCAACTTAATGCAAAGCTAGGTGTTTGTGCACAGTGGCCTCTGGGGTTCAGATGCCTTTTAATAATGGACAAAACACTGAGAAATTAATGTTCGCTAAACGTCAGTGGACGCCACTCAGCTGGCCTTCTGTTCATTATGTATGAAGGAAATGATTTCTCTCAAATGAGAAGTCTTGCAATGGGGATTTTGTAGCTAATCTGAAAACAGATCCCAGGCGCTGCTTTTATTCCTTGTGAGATGTGCCCTGCATATAGTGGCCTCCTGTGTGTTCAGATGAGCACAAAAACTGGCTTTAGTTAAATGTTGGGAAGTCCGGGCAATACAGTGCACTGCTTGGGCAGCCTGAAAATATTTTTGTGTGGTATTGTATTAGATTTTGTATTTGCCTTTTAATATTGGCGTTTAACTATTTAAATGATGGCAAGGTTGAAATATTAATTAGATAAATGAGGTTTTGTGTTCAGGTCTTTTGAGACTTATAGAACCTTCTCGTGGTCATACATTGTATGTTACTTGATCCCTGTCAAGCTGCCTTTGGTAGCCTCAAAGTTTTGTATGTATGTGTGTTTAGGAAATGTTGGGATAGCTCTCCAGTCAGTTGTCACTGTTGTCTTTCAACATAAGGGTAGCCACAGGAGAACTAACTGTACATAGCTCACTAGTGTCCCAGTACCCTGGTCCTGCCCTCCACACTGAGGAGTGTGCAAGTGGAAATGGCATCCAGTGTGAACATCTTTGTTCACTGTGATATGCAGGGTGTGATGTTCCTTGTCCTGGTATCTCTGTGGGTAACGGAACGTCTTGGAGTGTTCAGTCGCTCATCACACAGGACTTCATTCTCTGACCAGTATTGTTTCTAAAGTAACCGATGGGTTGGAATAACATTAGGGTTCCATTTCCTGATTAGATGTAGAAACCCCTTCAGCGGCAGAGCCCCCACCCTTTGTGTACTGAGTGACTAAGTTGGAAAATCAGTTCCTGTGAAAAGGACTCCTGAGCCCCAGAGCCCAGGGGGGCGCTGCTCCCTTGAGAGTCCTCCCTGACCCCCATGGTGAGGCACCCCCAGTGCACTTTATTGCTTGAGCAGTTCTGCTTGACTTTTTTTTTTTTTTTTTTTTTTTTTTTAACCTTGTTGAGCCTTTTGGTAGTTTTAATAATAAAAATTTAAATGTTTCAAATACTTATGTTTTATGTAACAGACTTTGACTTATTTAAATGAGTATTGTAATGTAACCTTTTGCTTTGAATCATATAAAACTTTCTTGGTTTGCAGACTGGGGCTTGTGTGCTGTTTTGTGTAACTGTGTCCAGTGACTTAATGCACACAGTCTTCCTATGAGTCTGGAAGAGACATCATGTATTGGCCTAACTTGAACTCTTACTTAATGGGGCTCTAATCTGTTTTGGAGTAAGGAACATAGTGGCAAAGAGGTCAGCTTGTAAGAATTCTTGCAGCCCAGATGTGGCAGTTTGAACATTAACAGTAGTAATAAGACTTCCACTTTTATCCAACACAGACTAATGGAGACTAGTTCCCATCCACAGTAGGGTCAGGAAGGAGATGCCCTGTGTGTGTCTTCCCTCCCCACCTCTTGGCATCCAGCTGGACTTTGCAGTGCACTCATTGTTGAGCACCAATGCTCCTGGGATGTAGCAGGAGCTGAGTGCCAGAGCCCATGTGCTGGGGAGCAGAGTGAGGTCCCTTTTTAATCCTGGGCTCTTGTAGACAAAGACTGACCTGGGTTTATCTGCATGTGAATCCAGCCAGCCACCCTGCTAGTGAGCAGCCGAGTGGCTTACCCCTCCATGTGTATCTCCCAGACACATAGTCCACCCCCACCCCCCTGTTTTATTCAACCAGGGCTTGGCTGCACAAAGCCTGTCTGTTCTACACAAGAGGAATTGCTCTTGCAGGAATCTGCATTACTAAGGAAATCAACAAGGTTATACTCTCCACATTCACCCTGTGGAAGAGAAGCACATACCTTCCCTCTCTCCCCTGTTGGCAGTCCCTCCCCAAGAGGTAGCCTAGACTCTGAGGGCTTCCTTAGCTCCCAGCTGGACACTGACTTCTCACAGGACAGCTGATGTCTAGGCTGCCATTGCTTCTCTTGACCACACGATGTCACAGTTGAGAGTTGGAACTGGCCTTGGGAAGTCCTACTGATTTCCCTAGTGCCACAGACTACCACATACGATCTTCAGTTTCTGGATGTGCAGTTTTGGGGCCCATCCTGAGGCACCAACAACTTAGGGGTGCAAACCTTGGGCCAAGTACCTCTGGGGGCTCAAGTGTTTCTGTCTTTCCCAAGGCTTCATGCTCCAGAGAGGGCAACACTTCCTTGCCAACACTGAAAAGGGTTTCTCAGTGTAGCCCTGTCAGTCCTGGAACTCACTGAATCTGTAGACTGGGCTGTCTTCGAACTCAGAGATCCACCTGCCTCTGCCTCGAGTGCTGGGATTAAGGTGTGTGCCACCACAGCCCACAAAAGGAGGATTCCTTTACACCAGGACACTGTTCCTTTTTGCCTCTCACCAAGGTTCAGGCCAGCACCCTAAAAAGGGCTAATTATGGCGCCACCTTCCAAGAGAAAGTGGCTAACCTCCAGAGTCTGATATGTAGCTTATGGGTTAGCAGAAGGGCTCACTAAGTAAAGCTTGGGGACCTGTTTGCTCACTGGAATCCACATGGTGGGAAGAGAAAAACACCTCCTGCATATTGTCCTTAGACTTCTACACATGTACACTGCGGCATGTACACTCAATGTACTGCACATAAACACACAATCGTGTGCACACACAGATTAAAATATAATAAAAATGCTTCAAAATAGAATTGTTATATGCTCTGCAGTGCCCAGAATCACCTGAGGACGCCTTCCTCCTCCATGCTCATGTGTGCAAAGAGAGAGGGGAGAATGTATGTGGTATGGGTGCATGTACGCCATGACATCCATGCATGTGGGAATCAGGACAACCTGCAGCAGTCACTTCTTGTATCTATCCACTGTGTCCCCTGGGGGTGGGACTCACAGTGTCAGGCTTGGCATCAAGTGTTTTACCTGCTGGGCCATCTCCTTGGCCCTTAAAAAAAATGATTACATTTTAATTTCTGTCCAGCTCTTAACAGAAGGAGAAATACCCCCATGGGCCTGACACTCAATAGCTGGTCTCAAAGTGCAACCCAGTGAGAGGGACCCTCTATCGGGACAGTGACATCCATTCTTGAATCCCAGAATTACCATGAGTGGGACTCCCAGGGAGGGGCCTGGGCATCAGGAAATAAAGTGCCTCAGAGAATTGGGAACATCAGATGAGAGTACCCTAAAAGCTTGTCCCAGACAGTTTGAGCCGATCCCTGCTGGTGTGGGAGGTCCCTTCTGAGCTGAGCCAAGAACCCATGAATACAAGAGCACAGAGGCCTGGAGACCCCTCAAGGCTCTGCCCCTCAGTCCAGAAAGCTTATTCATGATTTCTGACCGGAAGGGATCAGGTTTTCTCAAGCCTTGGTACATCTTGGAGGAGATCTACTGCAGAAACAGTGACCATCTGTGGTTACTTAGACTTTGTGTGATGGGAATCAGGGTCAACTCATGCTGTGCATGGGCAGTTCCCACACTCGGCTTAGAGCTGGGCACGTGGCTGGGAAGACAACATGGGCAACTAACCGTGGCGCAGCTGTACAATATGGGACATGGTGGGTACCTGGCACGTGGGCAGTGCAGGAAGTGCTTCTGTGGGCTGCGATGATCCCAGCTCCACCTCTGGCAGGACCGACCTCTCCAGAGTCTGAGTTTCCCAGGACCACAGCTCACCAGTTGGCACACATTTGTTCTGATTAGCCATTGTTCGGGACATCCTTGGAATTGTTTTTGGAGACATGGTTTCTCTGTGTAATAGCTCTGACTGTCCTAGAACTCCCTCTGTAGATCAAGCTGTCTCAAATTCAGAGATCCACCTGCCTCTGTTTCCCAGGTGCTGGGATTAAAGGCATGTGTCACCACCTCCTGGCCCCCACCTTTCTCTTAATCAGATGAAACACAACACATAGAACAGTAAATATTCACAATATCAACTTCAAAGCCTGATTCACCCTTTGGTTAAAATGCAACATTTTAACGTTATAAAATATGCATTTGTAACATTTGGGTTGACATATTAAAATAGAAACCGCTCTCATCTTCATATCAAAAGCAGTGGTTTGAGCTTCGGTTAAGATGCAGCTTCCAGCTCTGGGAGATATTGGCCCAAGGCTCAACCAACTGGTGAGCATCCCCTGGCTCTGGGCTCTGACTGTAGCACAAGACTCCCAGCTGCGAACTCAAAGGCACACTTGTCAAGTGGTAAGAGTTCATGGAAGCATTTGCAGGTGACTGCAAAGGCCTGTAGGTGTGGGGATGGTCCTAGTGACCACTCCTCCTTGGTTCCTGAGATGCTCCAGGTTGAGCTCTGAGGATTCGAGGGCTGGAGGGAGGATACTGGTATGGGAATGCAGTGTAAGCTGAGACCTGTTCTAGCCTCAGCAAAAACTGCCACCATTCCTTCATTCTCTACTCGTTTTCTGACACAGAATCTCACCCCATGGTCCAAGCTGGTCTTGAATTTACTATATAGCTTTCAGCTGGCAATAATCATCTAGCTTGGCCTGGTGACTATTTTAAGCATACGCCACCATTCACAGTTCTATGAGCCCTTTCTGCCAGCGCCCTCACCAACTGTGGGGGTGCTTCCAAACCTGAGCAAGACCCAGGTCCTAAAGGACCCACACAGGTCCTTCCCTCCTTCCCATGGGCTCCATGTATCTCCCCCTCTGTCCACTGGGAATGTCTGAAAGCTCTTCTGGCATCATTGTGACTGACTGCCTTCCACCCAAGTGAGGAGGGGGAGAAGAGGTCCACGCTGAACCAGACTGCCAGCCAAAAAGGAAACCAGAGAGCCGTTGTCATGAAGACCTGTGGGCTTGTTCTCTCCGCTCCCATAAAATTCTGCACTCAGTCAGATGGCTAAGACACAGATAGATGGGAGATAACGAGCTAGAAGATAGAGCTGTGAGCTGATAGGACTTGGAAGGCTTTAAACAACCTCCAGGATTCTCCCTCGAGAGAAACTGAGGCCCAGAGAGGGAATCCATGAGAGCTACACCCCACCACAAACTCATGTGATACTGGGATGCCAGAGCGGTCTATGGCTCCTGGCCCACGCTATCTTCCTACTACATCCAAGGCAGGGCAGGCTGGTGTGGGGGCCTCCAGCCTGAAGAAGGGAAAAGCTATGGGAGAAGTCTGAAATGCAGACACTCAGTCCTTGCTCCTGCAGCTTGCCCTTACCTCTGTGCTGTTAGAAATGCAGTCTGACACCTGCCTAAACTTACACACTCAGGATCTGCCTCAGGCCATATACTCTGGCCCTTTGTGTGCACATGGAACTCTTTTACTGTATCCCTCTGGAAATCTTAGTGTGAAGATCAAGAACATACTTTGGTGAAATCTTCTAGAGGCTGTGGCACAGCCAGTAGGGTTTAACCCTTCCCTACATGGAAAGTGAGTAAGTTGGAAGGACTAACAGTTCAGATTTGAGGGGAACCACACAGCATCTCCTGTGTGAGAGGAGGGGCCCACACACCTGTGGCCCAGGACCTGCTCAACCTTAGTCTTGGTTTGCCAGGCCAGTAGGACTCTGACCCCGAATATTTAAAGATCAGTTTGGAAAGATGGCTGTATTCTAGAAGCTGTTTTGCTCTGGCTGGGACATGGGTCGGGCCTCTGCCTCCCCAGTCCTGGGATTAGAAGCTGAGCCACCAGTTTGGCAACACTGAAGTATGAAGTATGGTACCCTCTGACTCTAGCCCAGCTCATAGGCCTGCAAGACCTAGTCCAGTGGTGAGTAGGGCTGCTCAGCCAGCTCAGCGGCAATACTCCCGCTCGATGCTTGCCATCAGCTCCTCTTCGGAGTAATCATAGGAGATGGGTGACTGCCCCTCAGGTCTCTTGTGGCTGCTGCCTGAGGTTCTGTGGGTGAGAAACGCAGACAAGGGTGGGTATCACCTCCAAACTCCCATTTTCCTTAGCAACCACAGTGGTCTTTAACATCCTCACATCCAAACAAAGAACCTCTGCTCTAGAGAGACCGGTATTTCTTTCCTACCCAACACATAGACATGATCATCTTCACTCATATCTGCCTTCATCCTCCCACTTTACCCACCAAAATGTGCAACGAGGGTGAGGCAGGCTAAGGCAGATGCCAGGGTACATCCGATGTCCATGGCTGACCTTCTGAGAACAGTATCCCAGGGCTCTGTGTACACTTCTCCCAAATCTTGGAGCGAGAGACCTGGGTACCGCTGCTTGATACCCTGAGCTCTGCCTGCCGCCACTGTGTCTGTGGGACAAAGGGGACACCCACATGCTTTGGAGGAGACAGGTCTCGACAGCTTTGATGTGCAGTAGCTGTGTGGTCCTGGACCAGGTGTGTGCCCTGCCCCAGTCTCCACAAATAAGAAGGACTGCATCTCAATACAGTGCTGCATGTGTCTAAAACAGAGATGGGCACTCAGGAGGGACTGGACAGTAGTGTGTGAGAGCTGCCTGATGCCTTGCAAGCCTGGGACAGTGGTCGTGGCTGCCCTTCCAGCCTGATCCTCTGGAGTCTTTACTGGCTGCTGTTAGAGGGAAAGGGATGCAAATAAGGGCTCAGCATACTTGAGGGAGCTGTGCAGAAAGATGACTGTCCTACCAGAGTGCCAGAGCATTCTGGAGTTCCCTGACAGGAATAAGCCCCTCTAGCGTTACCCCTGCCAGTCCCTGGCACTAATAGATGTGAAAGCTGAAACCTTAAGGGCAGATGGAACCCAAGATCACTGTAGACTCCCACATATTCTGTCTGCTCCCACTAGGCATTGTAACATTCCTGCAGGTGGGACCATAGAGAGGAAAGGGCAGGAGAGAGGTGGACCAGCAGAGGAAGCTGACAGCAGCTCCATGGTCCCTGTGCTCTAGTGGACTAGAAGCACTGACACTCTAGTGTGTGTGTGTTTGCATGTACTTAATTGTGTGAGTGTGTGCATGTGTGTATAGGCACTATTGCTACCATGTGCACAATAGAGTTTGAAGGATAACTTGCAGGTGCTGGGTTCTCCCCTTTTATCATGGCTTCTGGAGATTTAACTCAGGTAGTCACACTTGGTAGCTGAGCCCTTTTGCTGCCTCGTGCATTTTATCTCCTTCATACTGGGCAGTTGTCCTATGGCGTTGCACATTCCAGGAAAGTACCCTACCACTGGACTGTATCCCCAGCCCCCTGAGGAGGATTAAAGGCTCAGGGCCATTACTTGCAGGCTTTTGGGTGGTTTTGTTTGTTTGTTTGTTTGTTTGCTTATTTGCTTAGGACAGGCTGGCCTGGAACTCGCCTCCTCTGCCTCTGCCTCTCTGCCTCTCTACCTCACTCTGCCTCTCTGCCTCTACACCCTCTGCCCCTCTGCCCCTCTGCGCCTCTGCACCTCTGCCTCCCCAGTCCTGGGATTAGAAGCTGAGCCACCAGTTTGGCAACACCGAAATATGAAATTTGCAGGCATTTTAAGTATGCTTTCCTGATCACCTTTTGGGGCTACCAGTAGTTATTGCCACCGTCTAGACTGTGGAGTCCTTACAGCAAAGGAGAGTCTTTACAGGTAAAACCCCTGGGTATAGCAGGCAGCACACCTGGGTATATCTGAATGAACCTGGAGGGTCTCGAATGGTCACAGAGAAGCCAGGTCATGACCACATACAGGAGGAAGCTCAGAGACGCTGTGAGTGACTGGGCTGCTGCCCCCTCCCTTGGCTTTGGGATGGCTGGCACTGAAGCACTGTGGGCTTGTGGGGGACAGGTTCCCACCCCCATACTTACTCAGAGGCACAGCTGTCTTTGGAGTTGTCCTTAGTCATCTTTTCTGGGGATACCTTGAGCAGGAGGAAAGGAAGAGGCATAAAAATTTGCCAACAGTATAGTTGATCAATGTTCTAGCTTTGTGGAAGAGACAGCAGCCACCAGCCATGTTTAATTCGGTCTGTAAACATTAGAATGGTGAAGGTTCTCTCTGACTCTGGAGCTCCAGTTACCCACCCATTTTACAGCCAAGAAAACTGAGGCTGTGAGAGCAACTTATAAAACTCATAAATAGGAGAATAAATAGAAGAAACAGCAGGGCTGAGGGCAGATCTCTTACCTCCCAATACTCCCTCTTATTAGGTCACTCTGTCCCTCACTTCCAGAACACCAGTGTCTAATAACATGAGACCATTCTATCCCCACCTCCAGAGATCTTGTTGCCCTAACTCAAGAGCCTTGAGCCCTCCCTTCTTCAAATGTGCAGCAAGTATCCAGGTTTAACCTGGACACATGCCTATAATCCCAGCATTTGGGAAGCTGAGGCAGGAGGATTGCTTTCAGTTTAAAGCCTGCCTAGGCTTAAGAGTAAGAACTTGTCTTAGAGTATACATGTGTATGTTTATTTAAACAACTAAAACAATTACTATTTTTAAAAAGAAGTGTGAACAATATTTATGTTGCTTTTAAGTAGCCTAGCCTGCCGGGCAGTGGTGGCACACACCTTTAATCCCAGCCTTTGGGAGCCAGAGACAGGTGGATCTCTGTGAGTTCAAGGCCAGCCTGGTCTACAGAGCTAGTTCCAGGACGGGCTCCAAAGCAATACAAAGGAACTTTGTCTCAAAAAAACCAAAAGAAAAAAAAGAAAAAAAGAAAAAAAAAGGAAAAAGTAGCCTAGCCTAAAACATTTTGTTATAGCAATTTGAATGGACAATGATACAAAGATAAGGGAAAAGGAACTGAACAAGCTTTTAGGACAAAAAGCTGAGGTAAAAACTGGTCACCTCAAGATGAGACTGATAAGAGAGGTGGCGTTAGCCTTCTTAGTGGCAACTGCAGACCATAGTCAGAATGGGAGGGAGAGCTGTTTAGAAGTCATAATTCTAATTCTAGAACCCATCAGAATAAACTCAATTTTTTCCAGACATTCAGTTTATCAACTGTTGCCTGTTCTGGGGGAAAGTGTGTGTGTGTGTGTGTGTGTGTGTGCGCTCATGTGTGGTACCTGTGCATATTCATGTGCAGGGCAGGCTGCAGTCAAGTATAGTCCTCTATAGCTCTACTTTTCTGTTGCTTTGCTTTTGTTTTTAGCCCAGAGTGCAAAGATTAGCTGAACTGGCTAGCCAGTGAACTCCAGGGATCCCTTTCTCAATACCCAGAGCACTGTGGTTATAGGTGCAAGCCATCATACCTGCATTTTACATGGGTGCCGGGGGCCTGAACTCAGGTCCTTATGTTTACACAGCAGACATTTTACCCACTGATCCATCTTCCCAGCCCCCGGGGAAAGATATTTGAAGACTTTTTGTTTTGCTTTAAGCTAGATAGGTATTGGTGCAGAGATTGCTCAGTAATTGTGACGGCTCTCCTTGGTTGTTAACCTGACTACATCTGGAATGGACTACAATCGAGAAATATGAGAGATTTTTTTGCCTTGGTTTTATGTGGGTGAATTTGCTTCTAGTCTGGGCCTTTGAGGTAGGAAGACACATTGCCTTTGATCCATATCAAGGCAGGACACCGTTAGTCTGGACCAACCTTCTGCTGGAAGCATACATAAGGACATGGACCAAGGAAGCTTTTGCTCTTTGCCTGCTTGCTCTGGCCTTGCTAACAAACCCATTCCTTCACTGGTATTAGAGTCTACTTTAGGGTTCCAGCGTCTGCCGAAGACCAGCTGAGACATCCAGCCTAGTGGGCTGAGTGACTTTTAGATTCTTGGATTTTCTGGTCATACTCCACCAAAGTGACTCTAATAAATCCCCTTTCTTTATATATAGAGATCTATTCTGTAGGTTCTGCTACTCCAGAGAGCCTTAACACAATAGCTAAGAGTTAAGTGCTTGCCACGCCTACAGAGGGCCTGGGTTTGGTTATGGCATCTCCATGTCAGCTCTGAACTGCTTGTAACTCCAGCCCCAGGGGATCTGCCTCCTGGTTTCCACAGACAGGTGTGCAGGCAGATACACTTACAAACATGTAAATACTATTCTTAAAGTCTAGCTGGGATTAGTGTCACACGCTGGTAATCCCAGAACTCAGGAAGCCGAGACAGGGGGATCAGCAGTTCAAAGCCATCTTCAGCTACAAAGGGAATTTAGGTCCAGCCTGAGGTACATACATAAGACCCGTCTTAAATAAATACCAAAGAAAACAAAACACCAAGAAAATAAACTACTTTACCTGTGGTAAAATATGCATTACCACCAACCCTGTGATGGTGGTAGGTTTAATTTGGGGGGGGTGTTTGTTTGTCTTATGGTGGACACATGAACACATGATAGATAGAAAAGCATTAAAGGGCCTCCAGTACCTAAACCACCCGCTGGCAGGTTTCAAGATTTTGCCAGGCAGGTTCTGCTCTTCACCACTAGAGGGCACTGGTCTTCCTCGGGGAAGTCCCAGCTCTCCATAACTAGCCCCAGAACCCAATAGCAAGCGAGGCACATGAGATTCCACTCCTGCCTATAAAAGGACTGGGGCCACCGTGTAGGGATCAAGGCCATCTGTGCCTCCCCATGCCTGCACGTTTGGCATGTTTAGCTTTTGAAACTCTTACTGTTGCTACAATCTTTCAGGATCCTGCCCCTAAAATCTGAGAACAGGATCTGCCTTTTTCTATTTTCTTTCCATTTTAAAGTTGTTTCTATTCAGAATCTCATTATATAGCCCTGGATGGCTGGAACACCCCACGTAGACTAGACTGGCCTCCAGCTCAGAAATTTGCCTAGCTCTGCCTCAGAGCACCATCGAGGCCTGACTTTGAAAGAAAGTGGAAATGGGTTCCCACCTCTGGGTTTCCTGGTGTAATGTCCCATCCTTTTATCGAGGGCTGGGCTAACTTGGTTATCTGCTGCACAGTGGAGACTTCTGACTGAGGCTCCTCCACTCCTTGTGGATGGATGCTCAGCTCCGTGATGCTGTCTTTCATGTGGGGCATTCCCTCCCCAGAGCCTCCTTCTTGCAGCGTGCAATCCCTCCTTCCCAGCATTGTCCGAGTCAACCCCATGCTTCACTCTGGCCACTTCATGCTGTTTATGTGTGTGGTCTTTGCTCTAGCCTTGACTGCAGACACACAGGCACTGTCTAGGAGTTCTGTTTTGTTTTGTTTTTCTGTGAGTCCAGCATCTTTAAGTCCTTCTGGTGAGGCTGCTCTGCAGCTGAGACTCCTTTCTATTGTTTCTTCACCTCCCTTTCCACAGCAGCGCAGGCCATGACCACAGCAGCGCAGGCCATGACCACCCTGAAATCTTGGCTGGCAGCAACAGACAAGGCTCCCCCAGTCCTTCTTGACTACAGTAAATCTGAAACTATGCAAAAGCAGGGAGCAAGATGTCATTCAGCTCCAAAAGAAGGTGTCACTGTTCCACACAGGCTTGGGAAGAACGATGTATATGCTCTCTCAGTGACAGCAACATTCTTCATGGCTTCCGAGGGCCACGGCTGGTGTGTGTGTATGTGTGTGTGTATGTGTGTGTGTGTGTGTGTGTTAAAAGTACCCTCACATGGACTGAGGCGATGCAGTGACCCAGTAACTTAGCAGAGCACTATCTATGACCCTCCCCCACCATGGCAACTGCCACAAATGCATGAACAAGTAGGAGGCCACTACAGCTCCCTGACCCCATCCTCCGTGGATGAATCTGAATCAGATGGCTCCTTTTACCCAGGAAGACACCACGGATTGAGGGGACACTGTTGTGTTCTTCAAAATTATCAAACAACTTAAAAAAAAAAATCAAAGGCATAGATTTACTCAGCTCTCCCATTTTGCAGAGTTTGAAGTTTCAGATCTCCAACTAATGCCACTGATGATCCAGATCTGCTGACTCTGGGAAAGGGCTCTGCCTTGGGCACTTCATGTGGTCGTGAGATTACAAATCAATCCAAAATGATAACAGGCGAGGAAGGAGGGTCCATGACTTACAGGACAGGATTTGGTGACTATCTCATGGCCCTTAAATATGTAAGGATACGTGAGGGGAGAAATCTGTTTATGAGATGGTTTAAGTAGGACAGCTCAAAATAGACATAAATATACATAAGTAAGATAGTTAATAAGATTACCCTTACCTTTAATTTTTTCTTATCACCCTCAATTTGGCAAAACCAATCAAATAAATCCAGCTTAAAATTTTGCCTAAATAGCTGGGCATGGTGGCACCCAGCACTTGTTTGATCGTGTACTCCATAAATAACAACTATTGTGTCATTAAAAAATAAAATACATAAAAAAATGTGATGAAAGCACTGGGTGGTGGCAGACACCTTTAATCCCAGCTCTCCGGAGGCAGAGGCAGGTGGATCTCTGTGAGTTTGAGGCCAGCCTGGTCTTCTGAGTGAGTTCCAGGAAGGCTCCAAAGCCACAGAGAAGCCCTGTCTCAAAAAAAAAAAAAAAAGAAAGAAAGAAAAGAAAAGAAAAAAGTGGGTGAACATGGAAAGAATTAACACAGGACTGAGACTTAAGTACTTACTAAAATATTAGCTAAAACTGTATCTTTTTTTTATTTTTAGTCTTTATTTGTAGCTGACTGGATTTGAGCAGGAGTACAGTACCTGTAGACACCAGAAGGGGGCATCAGATTCCCCTAGAGGGACTTAACAGGCATGTGAGCTGCCTGACTTGGGTGGTCAGGAAAACCTCTGAATGACTGAGCCATCCCTCCAGCCCTCTACAACTTTAAAAAAATAAAATCCAGTATAACATGATATTCAGGGTGATGATTCAAGGATAGTATATAATCAGTTTCCAAAACACCCCAGTGAAGAGCGGTTGCAATTTTTCTGTTTTCTTGCTTTCTGCTGGAGTGAAGGATAAGATTCAGGTCTTATGAATGCTAGGCAAGCTCTTTACCGTGGAACTACAGCCTGAGCCCACTGGCTGCAGTGTTTAAATGAAGGCCCTTAAAAGGATGGTCATTTAATTTTCTCTTATAAAACAAAACAAAAAAAACTCCTAAATGTTACAAGGTTATGAATATACTGGAAAAAATCTTTTCTAATAAAAGAATAGGAATATTGTGTTCATGCCCTGTCAGAGAGTCCTTTTTGCTTGGGGGGAGGGGAGGGACATGCTCTCAAACGTATTGAAGGAAGGCCATTTCCCATGGCTGGTATTGAACTTGCAATTCTTTTCTGTCTCAGTGGGAAGTTACGAATCCAGAGTCCTGTAAGATGTGCAGCTGCTGAGGGAATCAGTTGTAGATGTGAGCAGATGTGAGCCACATAGCACAGGAGCCTGGGTTCCAAGCTCTAGCATGTGCAGTGCTTTTAGAAGCAGGGGTATCACTTCCTGACTTTTGTCTCTCTGGACCTGAATACTCTCCTAGGACTCTAGGATTCATCATTAGTTTGAGAAACATTCATGGCACAGGGGACACATCTGAGGTACACCTGTACCAAAGAGTAAACACTGCTCTGATTTCACAGTTTTTTGGTTTTTTCCCAAGACAGACTTTCCTGTGTAGCCCTGGCTGTCCTAGAACTCACTCTGTAGACCAGGATGGCATCAAACTCAGAGATCGACCAGCCTCTGCCTCCCAGGTGCTGGGATTAGGATTAAAGGCGTGCATCACCACGAGCCAGCACACACTTTATTTCTTGAATTTAACTTCTCATACCTCTTTCTCTCTGTGTGTGATACTACTTGGTTCAGGACCTGATCAGTTGGGCAGCCAGAGTAACCCTGGTGGATCAGGGTGTCCCAGGCTTTCTTCCAACTCACCCTTCTACTGTTGTGGAGTCATCTCCCCCAAACACAAAAACCATGCTTCCTTCAGCAAACACTCGGTTTCCTTCTCAGTAGATTCTACACCCCCTGATATGACAAGACATAGATGCTAAAGAATTCTGCAGCTAAGTGAGCCACCACCATCAGGGGACACAGATTCCCCTGCCCACTTGTTCCCTGCCCTTTCCTTTGACTAACTACTTCAGACTCAAGTCAGTCTGCCCATGGAGCATGCCTTTCACTCCCTCCCGTAGTGGATTCATCAGACTGACTTCTCTCTACTGCTATCTATACTTGTTCTATCTTTGGATCGGTCTCCTCGCGCTCTCCCCCCAGTCCCAGACCAGTACTCTGGACACCTGTCTTTGTCTCTATTGCCTAAAGCAGCACGCCCACCCCACTTACCAGGGCTGTGGCAGTGCCCAGGAGGTCCTTTCTCTATAACTGTTCTTCCAGCTGACACCCAGCAAGATAGAGGAAAAATCCATCCACTTCCAAACTTTTGAAGTTCCCTAAGCACTTGAAAATGACACTGAAAATTTGTTTCCTTGCTATGTCAAAATCTCCCCAACTGTTGGTTTTTTTGTTAGTGTTACATAACTGTAGGCTGATGTAGTCTTAGAGGAATCCCGTTATATAATTTAGAGCTCACTTGTCCTGTTGTAAACCTCTGCAGGGCAGTGGGGAGAAGGGATGTGGTACAGAGCTCTGTTCCCGGTGGGGCTGAGCTGTCTTCCCACCATTCTGTGGTGATGCTTGCATGGTAGCCCGTCCCAAGAAGACATTTCCTCCGCCTCTGCAGCCCACAGAGAAGCCTCCAGCTGCGGATACTACCTTTGGCCTCCTCTTCCAGCCAGGAGTCACTAAAATCGGTTTTGAATTTTAGCTCTTATAGCAACAAAGACATGCCAAACCAGAGCGCTGGTTTTTCATTGTTTTTCTAGAACAGCGGGGGTGTTATTACAAGTGTTCAGCAAGGGAGGATAAGGAAGCTGAAAGAGTCAGCGCCTCTTAAAAATAGCTTGCAATATGGGAATTGCAAGCCAAAGATCCGGACGCGTCCGACGCAGCAGGGCGTTTTCGTACCACTGTTTGGCAGGTGGTCCGCACACTTATCGCCTTCTCCCACTGTGTCCCCTGATGGCCACGGAGGCCTTTGCAGGTCAATTCCCACCTGAGCAGCCAGGAGGCTGCAGCTGGACTGCATGCAGTCCCTCTGGGAAGGCAAGGCAAGCCCTGGGCCAGAACAAAGTTCTGGGTGTCTCTGCCAACTGCTGTTTGTACTCGATCCTTTAAGGCTGCCTCTGTGAGTCACCCCGAAATAGAAACAGTAGTGAGCACCCACCAAGGAGGCAGAGTGAGAATATGCAGGGGTAAGGAAGGGGCACAAGGCCCTAGGACGGGCTGGGCTGGGGGGAGCACACTGGGTTAGCTGGGGACAGAGGCGCCGAGTAGGGAGGGAGGCCTGGGTGGGAGGACACTGGGACTGCAGAGGGATGAGTCTGGAGGGACAGGCGCTCACACTCACCGCGAGTGGGAGCCGGGCAGGGCCCCGTGGGGCCGGCTCTTGGGGCCCCCAGGCCTCCGACTCGGCCAGCAACTGGTCCAGCAGGCGCAGGGTCTCCTCCCGGCCGCCGGGGGGTGTCGCGGGGAGGGGGTCGCGGCCGGTCTCCTCCTGTGTCGCGGCCGTCGTGGCCTGGTCAACCCTGCCGCCCTCCGAGGTTGCCTCTCCCGGACCCGCCTGGCGCCTGTCAGGGCTGCGCCGCCGCCTCGGAATCCGGCCACTCCGGCTGCTGCCGCTGCCCATGGCTCGCACCCAGCCTGGAGCGCACAGCCGGGGAGCCGGGCCGGACTGGGGCGGGAGCGCGGCGGGCGGGACGCGGCGGGGGGAGCAAGGAGGGGGATTCCTGGAGGACCGAGGAGGGCTGTGCGATGGAGGGATGGGCGGGGGGGGGTCACGGAGGATGCGGGGCCCTGGGGGCTGCGCAGGAGGAGTCAGGAGAACGCCGGGATGGGAGCGATGGAGAGGCAGTGGTGATCTGGGAGGCTGGAGGAGGTAAAGGCTGATGGGGGGTGGGGGATGCTCCGGGGAAGAGGAAGAATGGGCGGACGGGGAAGGACTGGAGTACCTGCAGGGATGGGAGTGCCGGGGACAGGGAGAAAATGAGGAAGATGATTTGGGGTGGGGAGGAGGGTAAGAGGGATGAGAAGAGGGTGAGGTGACAGTCCAGGAGACCCCCAGCAGATAGGAGGGCCGGGATAGGTTTGTACTGGAAGGAGGGGGAACAGAGTGAGGGTTGTATGGGCGAGTGCCGGGTGAGTAGACTAGTGGGAGAGAAATCGGGGTGTGGGGATCATCTTGGAAAAGTTTGGGGGGCCTCCTGGGGCATGGGTGGAAGTAATTCTGGGGGCGAGAGGAGCAAAAGACCGACTGAAGGAAACTAGAGATAAAAGACAGGAATGCTTGCACCAGAGCCCAAAGCCAGGGGAACGGGATGCATCGGGGATCAGGGTTGAAGGGTAATATTGGGGGAAAGGGTCGCTGGGGAGGTCTGAGAGAGCTGAGGCAAAGTGGATGTGGGGAGGGGGACAGAAGCGAAAATGAGAACCAGGGTTCTGAGGGAGAGAGAATGTCCAGGGGAGGGGAGAGCTTCGGGGTGGCCAGGGGTGGAGAGCAGGGCCTTGGGCGATGCACACTAGAGGGGCGTGTCCCTGGAGCAAGACTCTAGCCTTGGAGCTAAGACTCAGGTGGGCGTGTGAACCTGGGAGGGAAAGGCTGTACAGGAACCTGGGGAGGTTGGGTTGTGGAAGGTTAGACTGCTGGGCAGAACAAGATGAAATTAAAGGTTGAAAAGTCATTGCCCCTCTCTGGCCTCAGGTTGGGGCGGAGCCCTCTAGGTGGTTCATTTCAGGCTCTGGCTTTCTTAGTCTTGGCGGTGTAGGTCTGGTTCCTTAAACTGTAACCACTCAAGGCTCCTACAGGCCTAGGGCGACCCTGGCTCCGCTAGATTTGTGCTGTTTTGTTTTGTTTTTCGAGATAGCGTTTCTGGCTGTCATGGAACTCACTGAATAGACCAGGCAGGCCTTGAACTCAGAGATCTCCTGACTGCGGGCTGTTTGAAGTGATGGAACGAGCATATCCGTGGTTTAGCCTGGCTTCTATAGAACTTAGAGGAGCAGTCAGGTTATTTGACCTCTTGGAGCCCCAGAGTGGAAGCAGGGCCATGGAAATATTTTAGTGGGTGCAGTAAACAGCCATTCAGTGACCTCCTCATGTTTAGACTGCCCCAGCTCAGGCAATCAGACCTAAGCCTGCACAGGGGTGAATGGGAGCCCCCTACTAGAACCAAGGTACATGCCCACCAATGGGCTGCCCCTCTGTTCTTTATATACTCCTGCCCCTCCCCTCAACACCTCCTACTCCCCCACCCCCACCCTATACCTCGGTCAGACAGAGTGTGCAAGCAGAGCTCCAGAAAATACCCCCAAATAGTCATCACCGTAGGGAAACAAAAGATATTTAAATGAAGAATAAAAAGAAAGCAATGCCCCCCAAGAGGGGGGACAGGAGAACCCTTGATCATGATTCTAGCCTTTCCTCACTGGCTATCTAAAATGAACAAAGCTTTGACTTTTAAGTAAACTGATGTCATCTAACTGTAGGAAAGGCTCCAACCCAGGAGTCAAGACTTTACCATAGGCTGATCTTTTGCCTGCTTCCCTTCCAGCACTTTCCAAAGCAGGGTGAGTTAAATGCCCTGCATTTAGCTTTATCTGGTCCCTACTGGATGGCAGACCTATCCTGAAAGTGTAATTTGTGGCTAAACTCTCCTAACTGTGGGGTGAAATCTGACTGTTTTCATCACCGAAGGAGCAGGCGCTAAAAACCTGTGCTCAGGAGTGGGATGAACGTGAGGTCAACTCAGTGTCAGTGTGCTTGAATTACCCAGGGACCAGAGAGGAGCTGGTGTTCACACCCCCTCCTCTTCCCTTTCCCTTTTTAGTGGGATTTCTTGATGATCCAGATGGAGGGGATGGGGCCAAATGTACGACTTGATGACATTTGGGTGTTCCAAGTGCACAGATGTGTCTAGGTTGGAAATCACTAACATACGTTTTTTTCTTTATGAAAACAAATTCTCATCTTGAAACTCTTCGAGCCTGAAAAAAGATTCAGAGGGGAAGGAAGAAAATCTTCTTGAACAAAGTTCAACTCAGTTTAATCATTTAAAAGAAAACATGTTTTACTCCTACCCAAGTACAGTCTAGTCATGTGACTCGGAGTTTAAATATAGCTGGCGCTCCTGTGCTCTTCTGAGCGGCCAAATTTTTCCGGCCACTCTTGACTTCCACTGTTTCCCCAGACTTGTCTCCCTCGCCCTGCTTGCACAGGAGTCGTGCCAAAGCCGTGTTCTTTCTGAGATCACGTATAATGTCAGTCCCTCTTGGAGTCCTTGCTTCTGTAATAGAGGCCGGAAGACCCAGACTGAGAGGGGCGCCATGCTGCATACATGCTTGTTAGCCCAGCACTCAGGAATCAGAGGCAGGAGGATTAGTTCTGGGTCATCTCAGGCTATCCATGGGAAGTTTTCCAGGCTCATCTGGACTACATAAAACCCTCTCAAAACAAAACAGCACTGAATCCAGACTTGCCCCGAGCCAGCAGGCAGCCCTCAAGATCATTTTTAGAGGTGGAGAAGGGTCTCTGCCCCCAGAGAGGTGGGAAATTCCCATGAATCTCAAATAAAAGATGGGAGCTAAACTTCCAGGCAGGAACCTCACAGCCTACATGTAGACATTTGTTTTGTTTTGTTTGAGACAGGGTCTCATTTTGTAGCTCCAGCTGGCCTAGAACTCATTAGGTACAAATGGGCTGACCTCAAACTCACAGAGATCCACCTACCTCTGCCTCTTGGGTTGCTGGAATTAAGGATTTGGGCCACACCTATTTGTGTAGAGATTATGGAGTGGTTGATGGTGGATGAAGTCCAGTTTGACTAATCCTTAGAAAACCACTTTGCAGGTTAGTTTTTTGTTCACTTGACTCTCACTGGGGTTATCTGGAGAGAGGAGAGACCTAAATTATAAAAATGCCATCATCAGACTGGTCTGTAGGCCAGTCTGTGTGGGGGGTCTGGAGAGGAGAGACCTCAATTATAAAATTGCCACCATCAGATTGGCCTGTATGCAAGTCGGTGGGGGTGTTTTATTATTAAAGTAATGATTGATATGGGGCTGGGAGGCCTAAGAAAATAAACTGAATAAGTCCGTGAGGAGCAATCCAGGAAGCAGTATCCCTCCACCATCTCTGCTTCAGTTCCTGCCTCCTGGGCCCTGCCCTGATTTTTCTTCAGTAATGGACTGTGACCTGGGTTGTGAGGGAAACAAGCCTTTCTCTCCCTGGGTTTAATCACAGCGACAGAGAAACATGACTAGTACAGAACCTGGTCTCCAGCTCTGAATGTCCTTTTGATAAATTGAGTCATTGGGTGTGGTGATGTGTCTGCAGTCGGGCACTTGGAAGGCTGAGCCAGGTGGATGTCTGTGAGTTCGAGGCCAGCCTGGTCTACAGAGTGAGTTCCAGGATAGCCAAGACTGTTACACAGAGAAACCATGTCTCAGAAGAAGGAAGGAAGGAAGGAAGAAAGGAAGGAAGATAAATTTTTAAAAATGCTTTGGAGTGCAGTTCACTTGTAGCTGCTTGCTTAGCATGCACAAGGTTAGTGTTAGGTTCCTAGCACCCCGCCCCCCCCCCACAGCAAAACAAAACCCAATAGCTTTAGAAGAAAGCTACCATTGATGATACCTTCTAGATGGAGCTGTGAATGAACAGTGTGTCTGTCATCTGAAGATGAAGCCAGTCCCTTCCCTGTCACAGCCTGCGGACCAGTCCATTGCAATTGACAAATAAACCTGCCTGCCTTCCAAAGCCCTGTTCAAGTGTCCTTTCTTCAAGGATCTCAGATATAACTCTGCCTGCCCAGGACTTCCCCTGAGGACATATACCACAGTGTACATGGTGGGGATGATGGATGCAGTGTACACACAGAAAAATAGTATTTGTGGACTGGAACACATGTGAGTCCCTGGTCTAGTCCCAGCAATGTAGGTGGATAGTATTTGTGTTCAGCTGATATATGGGGGAGAGAGGGTGTCGCATGGTCCAGAGTGGTCTTGAACTCACTGTGCATCCTAAGATGACCTTGAACCTGTGCTGGTCCTCCCCCCCACCCCGAGTGCTGAGACTACAGGCATGCACCGTTATGTTGGGGACCAAACTAGGGTCTTCAAGCATTTTACCAAACCTAATGATATCCCCAGATTCCACCTCTGTGCTTCTGCTTTCAATGTCTACTGATTTACTTGAGAGGCCACCAGTGTTATTAATTTGTATTGATATCGTGTTGATATATTTGAGTGTCTGTGTAGTTGCTATGGTCTCTTCCAGAGTGTTCCAGCTTTTCCTTTCGTTCTCCTGGTTTCATCACTGAGAAGGGGAGGAGAGATGGAAGAGAAAGTCAGTAGTACTCATTAAGGATAATGAATACACATGAGGCTCCTTTGTGAGGCGTAGAAATAAGATATCCCTAAGTCCTCAGCATCAGCAGGTTTAGATCATGGTTAGTTGAGCCCATTATATAACATTGTAAAAAATTAAAAAGAAAACCCCTCTGATAATATGGCAATGTGCAGTCACACAGAATGCTCTGTACCCATTAGACACTTGGGCGAGACTGGGAATCTATAGTGGCTGCTTTCCACAACTCGGCCAGTTCTCCTTGCTTAGACCCCTCAGGGCTTCTGGTTCAAACCACTGAGTACAGCAGGGGTGTCATTGAAACATGTGCTTAGCTTGTT